GCGCCCCCAGCGCTTTTCTTCTCGGGGGGAGAGGGGGGGGGGGGGCAAGGTGGAGAGCGGCCGGGAAGGAGAGGGGCAGGAGGAGGGGGAGGAGAGGGGGGGGAGGGAGGAGGGGAGAGGGGGAGGAGGGGGGAGGAGGAGAAGAGGAGGAGAGGAGGAGGAGGAGGAGGAGGAGGAGGAGGGGGATGATGAGAGGAGGGGGAGGAGGAGGAGGAGGAGGAGGAGGAGGAGGAGGAGGAGGGGGAGGAGGAGGAGGAGGAGGGGGAGGAGAAGGAAGGCGAGGAGGAGGAAGAAGGAAGCAGGAGGATGATCATATTACCAAGAATAATATTACTCTACGCAGTATTAAGGATACTAAGCATCACATTGAGAAGCGTAAGAATAATGCGATCATACTGCGAATGCTACTAAGTATAATACTTAGACGAGACAGATTCATACAAGACATCACAACAAGCGTACTACGAATACGAATAAAGCGAATACTTATATGAAAAAGAACAACCATACTAATACTACCACTACTACGAATTTTAATAGCAATGCTGAACATACTTACACTACTAACACAACTAACAATAATAAGAAGAAGCAGACGAAATACTACTACCACTCTGATAATAATCAGGAGCCTGATAATAACAAAAATGCGGACAAGAAGACAAAACAAGAAAAAGAGGGAGGAGGAGGAGGAGGAGGAGGAGGAGGAGGAGGAGGAGGAGGAGGAGGAGGAGGAGGAGGAGGATTTCGAGGGCTCTGAAGAGACGGCAGGATTCGAAAGCCCTGGGACGCAGCCCGACGCCCACGCCTGTGGGCGACCGCTGAGCAGACTCGGCTTCTCCGAGGGAGCCCAGCAGGCGCCGAGCGGACCAGACGCCCACGTTGCAAAAGACGGCCCACTGGCCCGAGGCGAGTCCAGCCGCGGCGACGCGACGAGGGACAAGCCAGTACTCCAAGGCGCCCAACCGTGGCGACGAGGCAGGGCCAATGCTCGACACAGCCGCCACCGACGGGCCGAGCGCCTCTCAGCCGCCGGCGGCGGCCTCCGCCACCTTCATCATGACGACATTCTCGAAGGTCCAGTGACCCTCGATCTTGGTCGCCTTCTTCTGACGCTGCTTGCCCTCGATGGGCTTCTCCATGGCGATCTTGGCCCCCACATTCAGGCGGGTCTTGATCGTCAGAACCTCCTTCATGACCTCCTTGCTCTCGATGGGCTTCACCATGACCTTCTGGTGGGTTTTGATCACCACAGCCTCCTCGATGACGATTGTGCTGGATGGAATGCCCATGCGTTCCGGCCTTGGTCGCCTTCTTGATCTCCTGGGAGGTCATGGCTGCGCCTCCATCGCTGGCTCCCCTGCGCTGCGCACCCTCCACGTGCGCGCGGGGATGGCCCCTCCCTGGGGCCAGGAGGGGCTAGGAGGAGGAGGAGGAGGAGGAGGAGGAGGAGGAGGAGGAGGAGGAGGAGGAGAAGGAGGAGGAGGACGAGCAGCAGTCGTCGGAGGAGGAGGGATGCGCCTGTGCACCCTTCTCGTCGAGCCCGCTCTCCCCGCAGAGTCCGCCCACCGCCGTTCGAACGACTCTGGGCGGACTCTGGGAGGGGTCCAGGGATCCCATGGATCCTTCCTGGCGACCGCCCCGGCCACTCTTCCGGGCCGCGCCCTCGGCAAGCAGCGGCGCGAGCCTCAGAGACGACGGCGCCCCCAGACATCCGACGTCCAGACTTGCTTCGCACCCAGAGTTCCGACGCATCGAAGAGATCACGACGGAGATTGTTCCCCGCTTTCGGCGTCCAGAGGCCGTCGCTGGGCCGTCACCAAGAAAACAGCTCCGGAGGAGCAGCTGGTCCTGGGGAGAAATCCTGGGGAGAAAGAGTCGGGGCTTAGAACTCCTGGGGAGAGAGAGTCGGGAGAACTCCTGGGGAGAAATCCTAGGGAGAAACCCTGGGGGGAGAAATCCTGGGGAGAAAGAGGCGGGGCTTCCGGGCTCCGCGTCTTGAGCACGTGGTCCCCAGGAGTCCCCACCCTTCGCCTGCGGGCCCGGTGCTGCCTCCCGAGGCGTGCCCCGACGGACGGTGGCCCGGCGAGGGCCTCCGGAGGCCGGGAGCGAGCGGCTTCCCGTCGTTCGGGAGGCTTGAGACGGGGGTCAGTGCAAACGGGGGTCAGCCAGGGCACCAGATCCTGCAGGATTCTGCGAAGCCCCCGTCTGGCTGACCCGGGTTAGCGAGCCGCTCGTGGCCGCGAGGCGGCCGCGCATATTGGCTGACCCGGGTTTGCGAAGATCTGCGTTGCAGTTTTTTTTCTTGCATTGCAGTTTTTGATTTCCCGCTGACCCGGGTCTGGATTGACCCGGGTCAGAAGATCCCCGAGTCGTGATTTCTGCGCGACGCGAGCATGTCTGGGCCGACGTTCTCGACCTGCTGGCCTCGTCCCGTCTGGGCCGGTACCAGATCATGGGAGCCTGGTGTGCCGTCCAATTCCGTGTTTAGCGTCGGCTAGCGTCGGTTAGCGTCTGGGAGTCGTTGAGATAGCGCCGATTTGGCGTCGATTAGTGTCGATTTGGCGTCGATTAGCGTCGACTAGCGTCGATTTAGCGTCGAGCGGCGTCGATTCGCAGGACCCGCAAGATGGTACGTGAGGCTCCCATGAGTTGGCTTCAGAAGAATAATCATAATAATAAGAATGCGAATCATAAAAAAGAATATAGTGAATAATAAGAATGCGAATCATAATAGCAACAAACATAATAATACGAAGACAATAAGCAGACGAAGCAGCTACATGAACATAGCTTTCGGCGTTCCGCTCCGCGCGGATTTCTTAGATCGGCGCTGGGCCCCCCCTGGCGGCGTCTCCGGCGCCCCCCCTGGCGCGCTTTGTGCGCGCCAGGGAGGCGGAGCCAAGCGCCGATCTTGGAAATTCAGGAGGGAGAAAAACACAGACACAATGAATCGTCGATTCCCATGAATATGGGAAAATATGGGAAGAGGGGGGGAAGACAAAACCCCAGAAAATATAGGAAAATATGGGGAATCCGGTTATTAGTGTATTGATTTGTGTGTCCCAGGGCCCCTTCAAAAATGCATGTCGGCTTCCGAAAGCTTACAGTGGAGCACCATGCCAAAAGACACCCTGCTTGCCTCCAGGGTGCCCTGGGGTTCTTGGATGTCGATGGTTCTGCGACGGAGTGCGCGACGTTCCCACGCCAAACATCGACGGACGTCCTGGGGTCTCAGGGTTGTGTTTTTTTGTTTGGAAGGTTTCTTGTGCTCGGGCCTCCTCTGTATGTCTCCCTCGCGCAGAGAGCACCCTCGCCGAGAGCCCACAGAGATGGGGAGGGCCTGCCCCCCAAGTGGGTTGTTGGCGGCGGTGGCTTCTGGCTCTCCTCCGAGGCTCGAGGACCGAGTAAGGCAGGCTCGTGCCACGAGGATCGAGGCCCGAGGATGACTCTCTGCTCTTTTTGGTGGGCATCCTGGGCAGGCGATGTCCTGATTTTCTCGGGGGCGGAAAAGAGGGGGGTGATGACTAGGGGGGGGTGGATATCATGGCGTGGGCCATGATATTTCCCCAGATTTCATGGCGCCTTTTCTTATTTCATTACGTCCCTGGCCCCCCCGCTGGGCCGCGCACATGCCGCCGGTCATGCTTTGCACCCCCCCTCTTGGACACCCCCTCTTGGCCGCTCCCGATTGTCGTTGAGGCGGGTTTCCCAAGAAGTCCCGACCCTTTCCCCAGGGCCGGTTTTGCATCGAGCCGCTTTTTTCGACGCTCCTAGGGCCCGGCGAGGGTGCCTGGAGGCCGGGCGAACATTGAGAACCACCTCCGTCGTGGTTTTTGCCACGACGCGAGCACGTCTGGCGCCGCGTGGATCGCTCTGCCTTGAACGGTCGCGGCCTCTCGGCAGCGCAGGTCGCATGGTGACCGTTTTTTTTGATCACTGTTTTGCCGATCGGTGCGGGCCCTCGCCCCCCCCCCCCCCCATGGAGTGGATCTTGGCTGTTTTTGGCGCCTGTTTCGAGCTGGTGGGGTCTCCCCAGATGGAGCAATCTTGCAAACAGTCGCACCAAGCCGAGGTCCGGAGCCAGGACCCCCCCCCTCCCCACCTTTCCTCCCAATGTCGAAACGCCGAATAAAAAAAACGCTCACATGGTATCGGCCGGCTATGGGCAATTGGTGGCGTTCAACCTTGAACCCCTGCGTCAGGGTCGCCGCCGCTCCGACGCGGCGCAAAACCTGCCGCTTCGAGGCCCGCGGCCTCCTTGCACGTCTTTGGTCCCCCTCTCGGGCCTGTTTGGCCGAGGATCGAGCAGCGAGGACGAAGGATGGAGCATCGAGGACGAGGATCGAGGGCCGAGGATCGAGCACCGAGGACGAGGATCGAGGATCGAGGCTCGGGGACCAGTGGATCCCCTGCGCAAAAGGACACCCTCGTCTTTGCCGTCACGACCCGCCCAGCGGCCTTCGGCGAGGGCCGCCTGTCGGGTGCGCGCGCGGCCGTGGACGTGCTGTGGCAGGGCTGCGTCTACCTCACCCTGGACCTGCTGCCTACGCTCTGGGCCCTCTTCGGCTCCGCCTCGGTCTCCCCCTGCCCCATGGCACCCTCGCGTCGCAAAAGGATACATGCAGAGTCAAGGCTGACCACCGTTCGTCGTCTTCATGTTCGTGCTGTTGTTGTTGGTGTTGTTGTTGCTGCTGCTGCTCCTGCTGTTGTTGGTGTTGTTGGTGTTGTTGAATTCTCATTTCCGAAGAATAATTATTGTTGATCCCCCCACCGGTGCATACTGTTTTTTCTAAATCAAATTGTGCCCCTCGACGCTCGCACCTTGTTTTTGACAGGGAAAGTCTCGATGCTCAAACTGTGCCCCTGGCCCCCGGGTTACAACAGCAACGGCTCCCGCCTGAGACTCCCTCACTATTTAGCCAGGACCCCCTCTCCCGCCTAAGACTTCCTCGCATTGTATTCAGGAATCGCGCTCTCGCTTGGGACTTGCTTACAATTTATTCAGGAATCGCTCTCTCGGCGCTCTGGAATCGCGCTCTCGCTGGAGACGTGTTTGCAATTTACTCAAGAATAGCGCCCTTGCGTTGGAATTTTCCGCAATCTATTCAAGCGCTGCGCTCCCGACACTCAGGCGCTCAGGAGTCACGCTCACGCCTATGGCTCCCTCACACATTATTTGGGAATCGGGTGCAGCCCTTCGTTGCCCCCTCGCTGCGCTTCGTGGCCCCGTTGCAGCCCTTCGTGGCCCCTTCGCTGCCCTTCGTGGCCCCATTGCAGCCCTTCGTGGCCCCCTCGCTGCCCTTCGTGGCCCCATTGCAGCCCTTCGTGGCCCCCTCGCTGCCCTTCGTGGCCCTGTTTCAGCCCTTCGTTGCCCCCTCGCTGCGCTTCGTGGCCCCGTTGCAGCCCTTCGTGGCCCCCTCGCTGCCCGTCGTGGCCCCGTTGCAGCCTTTCGTTGCCCCCTCGCTGCCCTTCGTGGCCCCCTCGCCGCCCGTCGGGGCCCCGTCGCTGCCCTTCGTGGCCCCGTTGCAGCCCTTCGTGGCCCCGTTGCAGCCCTTCGTGCCCCCCTCGGTGCCCTTCGTGGTCCCATATATGTATGCCCTTCGTGGCCCCTGCTCGTCCGCGCCCGTCGTGGCCCCATATGCATGCACTTCGTGGCCCCGCTGTCGCCCTTCGTGGCCCCCTCGCTGCCCTTCGTGGCCCCGTTGCTGCTCTAAGTGGCCCCGTCCTTGCCCTCCGCGGCCCAATATACGTATGCCCTTCGTGGCCCCTGCTCGTTCGCGCCCGTCGTGGCCCCATGTGTATGCCCTTCGTGGCCCCGCTGTCGCCCTTTGTGGCCTTTTCGCTGTCCTACGTGGCCCCGTTGCTGCCTTCAGTGGCCCCGTCGTTGCCTTCCGTGGCGCTACTATCTGCTCTGCGTGGCCCCCGCTCGTTCGCGCTCTTCGTGGCCACATACGCATTCCCTTCCTGTCCCCGCTGTCGCCCTTCGTGGCCTACTTCGTTCCTTTCGTGGCCCTGCTGTCGTTCTCTCTCTCGCTCTCGCTTTCGCTCGTCGTCGTCGTCGTCGTCGCCGTCGTCGTCGACGACGTCGTCGTCGCTGTCGTCGTGGTCGGTCCCCTGTCCGTCCCCTTTGGGGTCGGGTTGCCGCCGATCAGCGCTGCCGCTGGCCAGGCCGACGGTCCGCGGCCGCCCCGCCGCTTGCCGGGGCCCGGCCTGCAGGGAAGAAAAGTATACCCCCCAAAAGGGGTGCGATCGAAGACGAAGAGGGCGGGTATCGAGGGTATGTGAACTACGCGTCAACGGACATTCGAGCAGATAAGAGCGAACAGTCTTAAACTGATTGTTTGTGTTGTCGTTGCTGTTGTTGGTGTTGGGGTTGTTGTTGCCGTTGTTGCTGTTGCCATTGTTGTTATTGTTGTTTTCGGTTTGCGATGTTTTTTTTGGTTGTATTGTAGTTGTTGTTTTTGTGGTGGTTGTTTTGGTTTGTCGTGCTTAATTGTCCTGTAGTTGTTGTTGTTATTGTTGCTGGTGCTGTTGTTGTTGTTGTTGTTGTTGTTGTTGTTGTTGAACTCTCATTCTTGAAGAATAATTATTGTTGATCCCCCCCCACCGGTGCACATTGATTTTTTCGATTGAAGTGCCACCCCCGGGGCTCGCACCTTGTTTTTTCTCAAGGAAAGTCTTCCTGCTCAAACTGTGCCCCTGCCCCCCGGGCTACAACAACAACGGCTCCCGCCTGAGACTTCCTCGATTTTTACTCAGGTCCCCCGCTCCCGCCTGAGACTTCCGCGCAATTTACTCAGGAAAGGCGCTCCCGTCTGAGACTTCCTCGCAATGTAATCAAGACCCCCGCTCCCGCCTGAGACTTCCGTGCAATTTACATGGGAACGGCGCTCCCGCGTGAGACTTCTTCGAATTTTACTCAGGACCCCCGCTCCTGCCTGACATTTCTGCGTAATTGACTCAGGAACGGCGCTCCCGCCTGTGACTTCCTCGCAATTTAGTGAGGACCCCCGCTCCCGCCTGAGACTTCCGTGCAAGTTGCTCAGGAACGGCGCTCCCGCTTGAGACTTCCTCGCAACTTAGTCAGGGCCCCCGCTTCCGCCTGAGATTTCCTCGCAATGTACTCAGGACTGCGCTCTCGCGTGCGACGTCCTCACAAATTATTCTGGAATTGCGTTTCGGCGCTCAGGAACCACGCACGCGCCAAGGACGCCTTCACAACGTGGTATCTTCCCTCTTCCTTCGTCCTTCCCCCTCCCCTTCCTCCCACTCTCCCTCGTTCTTCCCCTCCTCCTCTTGCAGGGCCCGCGCCAATTCCAATGGCGGGCAGAAAGATGTACGCCCCCGAAGGATTGTCCGCCTGTTCCGGTTTGCCCGTACGTCTAAGCCCGCCGGCCCCAGCAAAGAGAAATAATCCCCCCGAAAGGGGTGTGATCGAAGACGAAGAGGGCGGGTATCGAGGGTGTAGGGTATACGTGTTGAGTGACTCGCGGGCAA